TTTATGGGGCAATTTACTGTGTGCCAGACACAGTGGAAGCTATCGTGGATACTGAGTGAATGAGACATGGTCTCTGTCCTCAAGAAGCACCTACATCACCACCCGCTCCTCCCCACCGCCCCATAGCTCCTCTCTGTTCTCTTCCTGCACAAAACCTGCTTCCCGGAAAGCAATGGGCAAATTAAGCCACACTGAGCTGTAGTCAGCTGAGTGGGTGTTTATGACAGTACCTGTCAATTGTCTCTCACTATCCTATTTCAATAAAATAAAGAAACCCACTGGCTCATCCTCCTGCCCTCCCCCACCTCAACGTGTTAGCTACACACAAGACCACCCAGCAGAGACTGTATTTCCCAAGCTATCTTACAGCTAAGTATAGGTCATGTATGAGTGAAAATAATGTGGCAACTTCTGGGGCATACCTGCCTCTTCCTCATCCTCTTCCTCTTCCCCCTTTCCCATGGCTGGGATATAGGCTGGGAGGGCGATGGGGCACAGGCTTCGCTCACAGCAATGAGGGCAATGCCTGGTGGTTGGTGAAACAGGATGGAAGGATTCTGAGTCTATGGACCAGCACAGAACCATCATACTCACTCAGAGCCCTTACCAGCTCAGACTTTTACATAGAAAGAAACTTCTAAATTATTTAATCCATGGAAGCTGGGCTTTTATTAAAGCAGCCAAATCAATATCCTAATACAGCGATGCTTGCTCCCTAATGTTTAAGAAGCAAATAAGCAAAAATATTTTGAGCAAGAGCGTTATAAGAATTCCTGAAATTCTAACCGGAGGCCATCCCCTGAACTGGGGATCCAGCCTGTTTATAACAATGACCCCATGCCCCTGATGTCCCAAAGCATCTTTCAAATCATTTATCATTCCGTTTGCTGGGATAGTATTGTATTTTACTGTGTGGTACGCGTCTTAGGTCATATGGCTAGTTCAATATTGATAACAATAGCCAAGAAAGTTCCATTCTTCAGCCTGTGGGTCAATGCAGTTTACCGTAAATTTATGAGATGTATTACCTAAGTAGTTATCTTATCTACTTACAGATGAGACCTAAAAGCCCATTAGAGACTTTCCCAAGGGCCTGGGGCTAACAGAAACTCAGCCTCTCAGACTTACCTTTAAGAGCTCTTGAAACTTCGCCAAATAAAGAACCAATCTCCTTAGAGAGTAAGGTCCTCTGACACCAACCAGGGAATACTATTAGAAAATCTTTTTTTCTTTCTTAAAGTACTTGTAAAAAGGACGATTAAACCACAGAAATGTGAGCACCAAAGAAAGAAGGAAGTTGTGCAAAGGTCAACATTATGCTGGTAAGAGACTGTTTAGGAATGATCAGTATTTGGAAGCCAGTGGTCATAGGTTCATAATTGTTCTTATAAATATTCAACCACTGGAAAACTTTCGACATGCCAGGTAGCCAATGGTTTCTAGATTAAAATATTAAAACAAATAATAATTTTAAAAAACCCTCTCACTTCTGATAACATCGCAGCTTACTGAACCAAGCAATGGAGAGCCTCTCGCACCACGCTGGACTTGTTTCCTGGAAATCTGTGAATACCAGACCACAGAGCTTGACTAATGACTAAGGACATGGTGCCCACTGTGTGTGTTTAGAGAATTGGCTTGTGTGGGAAGGACCCAAATGTGTGGTCCTCATGCCAATTTCTCTTTGGACCTAAAAATCAGCAGAAAAGGGAGGCAATAGAAAATGACCACGATCCAGATGGAGATGGTAAGCCAGGACTGATGACGGAGTGAGCTGAAAGTTGCCAAATTAAGGGGGAATTTAGGTTAGCTGTAAAGAATCATGAGTTTTCTCTTCCCCAAATTGAGGCAGGAATGGAGAAACCACTGGCTTTTGATTTGAAAGCCCCAGATTCTAGTTCCAGCTCAGCCTGGGACTCCTCTGAGCTGACTTCTCAGTAAAACGCACAAATACTTGTGAATGGATGCTCCAGTAACCTCAGAAAGTTGTGTGAGGAAGTAAGATGATATCTGATTAAAACAAATCCTGAAAACGAAGGATTTAGTTCTGGTGCAGTGAGCAGTGTGGTTTGATGCCAGATGGAGATGGAATGTCCTTAGACTGATCTTGACTTTTACCTAGACCCTACAGATAGCAGCTGTTGCTTGGCAAGGCACAGCTGGGAGCGGAGTGCTCATGCTTCCTGTTTGATGGCTACTGCATTGTGTTGTGTACTTTTGTCAGATGCTGTCACTAATTCCCAACTTGAAATTGCGATGCTTAAAAAGCTGAGTCCTGGAGCTGCCTCATAGGCTTGTGTAATGCGTCTGGGACTAACCTATTTCTCCACGTTGGTGGAGTGCCCAGGATCCACGATAGAACGCCTGGGGTTATGTAATTGGCTACATTCTTTTCTCAAAAGGTCCCTCTAAAGGGGACCAGGAGTGACTGACTACCCTCCTCGTGCCAAGGGACAAGTCTGATCAACTGACCGAGGAGCACTGACAATGGGGTTATCAGAGTCATTTAGATGAAAGTGCCTAGTGTCTAGGATGTGATATGCTCCCAAGGACACTCAATAAACCACTTTCCCTTTTCCCTTTGGGCTTTGCTGAGTCAAATTTCAGCCTCTTCCTTGGAGAACTGCAAGAGCACTCGCCTGAATGCTTGCTCCTTGCTTGCACATGTGTTGAGGGCCATTCGTGGGGTCAGTGTGAAGGTCTCCTCCAGGGATCACAGCATCCCGCAAATGTTCGGATCGCACACTTCTTTGCTGTTGTCTGCTGCTGGCGTGATTAATTTCCCAGTCGCTCCCTGGAGATGAGTGACTCAATGTTTAATGATAAAGGGGAAAGAAAAGGAGGATCTGGTTCCAACTTTCCCAAAAGCCCCAAAGAGATGGTCCTTCTTCATGTGGCCCTACGTGGCATGCCATGCCTCATTTCTAGAGTTTTGTGAGCACAGACTTTTTCCTCGTAACAATCACCTCTGTGCCTGTGAGTCATACCATTCCTGATTAAAACAAATCCTGGGTACACCTTAACACAAGACTAGTTCGTCCTGATGGATACACAGGAGGAAGAGTGGGATTAGCATCAGGCACTGAGATTTTCTCATTTTCTTCCCAACCTCTGGGGTCTAAATAGACTCTCCAACTGCAGGCGGGCTTTCGATGTGGCAGGAAGATGGACCCCGTCATCACGGGCCTCACTGCCAGAGCCTAGAGGCAGGACGCAGAAAAAGTCCCAGGGACAGACTCAGATTGGCTGATTGGAATCATTAACATTCATGAGACAATCGCTGTGGCACATGCATTTGATCGGGACTGAGGCAGATGCTGACTCCCGTGGGTGGGTGGGTGGAATGTGTTGGGCAGCCAGCACAGGCACCAGTGAAACTGATCATTGTCCTTCTGTGGTTGAAGTTTGGACATCCAAACCTTGCCAGACCCTGAGGAAGGGACAGTTTGTATATAGCTGCTTCATCGCACAAAGTACTACTGAAAAACCAGACAAGCAGAGAATGAACCAGCTTCCTTTGAGATGGAAAGATAGAGCCAGGAGGCCCTTCTGAGATAGGGTCAGGCCAACCAGAAATACGGTATCTACAAACAATCCATCATCATAACAAAGGAAAACAAATGCCTTAAATGAACACGAGGTGAAGGGTAGCAAATATGTATTGACTTTTCCAGTTATTTATCAAATGCCCTCTGCATCATGTATCCAGATGACTCTGTTCAGACAGACAGATCTGGCTAAAGGAAATGTCCAACTGTCCAGACACCTATACTAGGCTTCTTGCCTCAAGAGAGTTTCTTATGGATGCCCATGGGAGGCCAAGAGAACAGGGATCTGACATCTCTCTCTGCAGGTCACAGGGAATGAAAGGAAAGGAGAGGGATAAATTCGTGACAAGACTGAGCTCAATTGGAGGGTACCACCAGGGGCTCTCAACTTGGAAGTTGGGAGGGCTTCTGGGGTCCATGACCTCTTGTCATTGCATGTAAAAAACCTGAATGTTCATTTCCTATAGCAAATAAAGAAGAGCATGGAATTTTTTTTCCCTTGATCTTCCTAGTATCTCACTGGGTAGGCAGAGGTAAGATCTCTTATCTAACTTCAGTTTCAACCTTTTCCAAATGGCGCTAGTCACAGAATTCCATGTTCCTTGCAGAGTTCTGTGTTGTGAAGAGAAGGCTAGAGAAATATGGGTCCACCTCTTAATGAGGCCATTTACTAGCAGATGGCTCAATCTCAATGAGCTGGTTTCCTGGTCAATAAAGGGAGGATAATAATATTGATTCTCATACCAACCCTGTTATAGTAGATGAGACAATAAATGTACTGAGCTTTCTAGTCTCATCCATTAATAATCAAAGCCTATTAGTTATAACAGTACAAAGCATTTTTAGGTATATCATTTAATTTTCACAAAAGTTCTACCAAGTGGGTTCTATTATTATACCCATTTAATTTAGGAAAAAAGTACAAAGTGGGTGAAAATTGAGATTTAGAGGTCAAGCACCTTACCACTGAGAAGCAGAGCTGGCTTCTGCCCTTGGGGGTCTGACTTCAGAGAGCATATTCTTAATCTGAGAATTTACTTCCTCCATTCACTCCATACACAAACTAGCAGAGAAGCCGCCAAAACAAAGCAAAGAGCAGGCTGCAAGCTGTTGCCATGGGGATGATCTGGAGAGTGAAGGGGGAATCTTCACACATGGAGTCCCTATGAGGCACCAGACACATGACAGAGATGATCTCATTTGGTTAAACTGGAAGGAGCGCCTTCATCATAGCTCCCATAACAAGCACATACTGCGGTCAGCCTTGCTTCCTTTTGTTCTACATAACAGGTCAAAACACGGAAGGTGGTGAGATTCATTTGCCTGATTTTATGTCATGCCATGGGTCAAGGGCTTAACTGGGAATTAGGAAGTTGGGATCATCTTTAAAACCTGGAGAAAGTACTTGCCAAAGGCCACAACTTGGGTACAAAAGAAGCTACAAAAATCATGGAAGTTTTAGAACTATTGTTTATTTCCAATTTTTCCCACTTCTTCCCCCAGGAGTGGCTGCATTATATGAAGAAAGGGGGCCCTGGTTTCATGAAGAAGGGAATTAGCACCCATTTCAGACTTCCTACACTAAAGAAGGGGTCCCGTGGGGTGGAGGGAGATCAGGGGACACTCTGGATAGACCATGCTCTGTGGGTTCTTCCTGGCTTAGAGCTCTGACAGAGGGGGAACTGGTGGCATCACCTGCCTGATTCCCTCCATGTATTCTGGGACTGGAAATGAACTAATTAGAGCTAATGTTGGAAATAAACTTATTGGATAAGCTGCATGATTTGGGCCTGAATTTCCCAAAGAGCTATATACAGAGGCAACTGAGGATGCAAATGTTCCCTCACTTGGCCATGGTGGTAATGAAGTTGTACTCAGGAGCTTTTCAAAGATGGGAGCTTCTGCTCTCCAGCTTCAAGAGAAAGATGCGTGAGGAGAACAGCAGGGGGTCTGGCTGCTTCCTCTCAATCCAACTGTAACTTCTGGATGGCAGTAGTCCCCTGCTATCCCCACCATCCTGCCTGTTATCAGCTGCAGCTGCAAGGGCATCCTGCATGTGGGAGACTTCTGTCGCTCATGAGCAACTGGGTCATGGCAGTGGCACTGGCAGCTGGCTGGATCATTTACTGGCCACGGCAGAGAGCTGATCTCGGATGCGGCCCAGGCCATCTAACATGGTATCCAGTGTTTCTTTGCTCAGCTCCATGGTGACAGCTGAGATGGAGGGTTTGTCTCCACATAGGCTGGGATCTTCCTGGATCTGAAAAAAGAGAACACAGCCTAGAAAGTCATACCTGCCACTTTTCATATCTCCCTGTAAGTGGGCCGTGAGCCTGCGAGGCTGAGCTCAGTTCTGCTGAAACTCTGAAGACAGGCTCTTTCCTAAGTACTAGAGTATCAGCCCTTGAGTCATTTAGTGGTAAGGGAGAGTGAAGGAGATGCCTCAGAGGCCTGGGTCAGTCTCCATTTGCGACAAGTGCCTTGGGTAGGTATCAAAGAAGGCCAAGCCAAGACTCAGCTCTCTGACACCCTAACTCTCAGCATGCAAGTAAGAAAAGCATGGTGTGTGTTTACAATGGTACTTTAAGGAGTGGGCTCTGTTGGATACATAAGACAATCCATCGAGATGCAGGAACATCTTGATGTAATAACATCTCGATGTAATAACAACCTTTAGTTTAAAAAAAATAAAGAAGTTGAGCTTTACTATTATTTAAAACTTAATTGCTAGAGGCACCCTTCTTCATTTTCTTACAAGTGTTGAATTTTTGGGTATCTGGTTATGTAGATATGTAAATATCTAGTTTTAACTAAACAAACACTACAAAATGGACATGTGGCTTAAAAAGATTCCCGAAAAGAACTATAAAATGAAGACAACACCGCCGGGCGCGGTGGCTCAAGCCTGTAATCCCAGCACTTTGGGAGGCCGAGGCGGGTGGATCACGAGGTCAAGAGATCGAGACCATGCTGGTCAACATGGTGAAACCCCGTCTCTACTAAAAATACAAAAAATTAGCTGGGCATGGTGGCACGTGCCTGTAATCCCAGCTACTCAGGAGGCTGAGGCAGGAGAATTGCCTGAACCCAGGAGGCGGAGGTTGCGGTGAGCCGAGATCGCGCCATTGCACTCCAGCCTGGGTAACATGAGTGAAACTCCGTCTCAAAAAAAAAAAAAAAAAAAAAAAGACAACACCAATGAAGCAAAGGTGTGTGAGCAAGAAAACGAAGTCCTGACACTTCTCCAGCTGCTGGTAGCAACTCTAGATCAGCCACGTTACAAATAACGACAGGCTCATCACTGGACAAGAAGTTGGCTAAAGTACACTGAAATCATCAGGCAGAGTAATCAAAGTCTGGAGGCACGACACTATGGTTAAAGCTAAACTGCTAAGAGTATAGGGTAACCTTTAGGTATCAACAAATTATTTTAAAAATATGTTTTGCATTTGTTTTATTGTTTTAATATGTCCACAACTTGTTAATATGGTAGCACACACACACTTCGTAACTAAACAAAGGAGGATAAAGAGGATGATAATTTTTAAAAATATATGGGTTAGAGATCCCAAACCTTGGAGATTGGTGTTTTAGATGGCCACAGGGGTGTGGCCTCTTCTTTCTAATGGCATGACAGTGAACGTACCTTCATCTGGAGCAGGCAGGTGGGGACGGCCATGCGGCTGATGCTGTCTGAGGAGGTTTTGATATCCACTCTCCAGTCCAGATCCACCAGGCGTGGCAGAGAGACTGTGGAAGGAACCGCTCAGCTCAATGCTCACGCCACTCATGTTTAACAAGCCTTTATTCTATGACAGGCGGCTTTGAGGACTGTACACATACAACACATTGGTCTACCTAGCAAGTCTGGGAGAGACAAACCCAAGACCCACAGCAAGTCACTGCCTTACCCAGTGCTCTGTGCTGCTGCACTTAGTACTAATTCCCAGTGGCAGCATATCCAGGCTTCCGCCTGAACAGCCAGCCCTCCAGATTCAGGGCAGAATGAGAAGTGACACAAGGCAGAGAAGAAATCATGGCCTGAGGCTTGAGAAATGTGCAGCTTCAGAAATAGTGGTAAGAGGTCTTGTTTTAGAGAAAAATAAACTTGACTTGAACACAGGTGCTACCACTTACCTAACCTCTGAGCTTCTGTTTGCTCATCAGCCTAGCTCACAGGGCTGTCGGGAGGACTAAATGACTTAATGCAGATAAACTGCTCCAACACGGTGGCTAGCTCAGAGATGGTGTAATGACCATTTATTAAACATGGACTTTTATTCCGTCTTTCAAACTAATTTCAATTACTGTTAAATTTTTTTCACAATTGAAATGAAATTGCATTATTTTAAGTACTTTGCTTTCTGCTTTGGATAGTTCTGTTTTTTTTTTTTTTTTCTTTTTGAGGCAGAGTCTCACTCTGTCGCCCAGGCTGGAGTGCAGTCTCGGTTCTACTGCAACCTCTACCTCCCAGCGGGTTTACTGGTCTTTTCTAATTGTATAATTTAGTACAAAGTTTGTAAAATATCAGAGGATATATATATTGTTTCTACAGCATGGTATTGCATTTATATCTTTTTACTACAGTGATCTGTGACAGCAGCAGCTTCATGTTGTATTTTTTTTTTTAACTGAAATTGTAAAACATCCATCTTAGACATCAACTACTCTAACAATTGTGTACAGGATATTCCTTTAGTGGTGGAATTAAAATGTACGAATATTTGCTTTTTCAAAAAAATGTATTTTCTGTTAAAGGTTTAAAGATTTTTCCTATATATTATGGAAGAAAAATGTAATTGTAAATATTAATTTTGTACCTATACTGTGCAATATTTGAAAAAAATGGTATAAAAGTATTTTGAGTCAGTGTCTTACATGTTAAGAGGGACTGAAATAGTTTATATTGTTTGTATTAAAATTCTTTAAAATAAAAAAAATAAATAAAAGGGTTCAAGCAATTCTCTGCCTCCTAAGTAATGGGATTATAGGCACCCCCCACCCCTACCCCACACCCGGCTAATATCTGTATTTTAAGTAGAGATGGGGTTTCACCATCTTAGCCAGGCTGATCTCGTGATCCACCTGCCTCAGCCTCCGAAAGCGCTGGGATTACAGGTGTGAGCCACCGTGCCTGGCGGATATTTCTGTTTTTTAACAACATGCCTATATAATAATGTTTATAATCAGAAAAAAGTTAAAAGTAGAATTAGGGAAAAAACCCCACCATACACAGAGTATGGGTTGAGACTAGAAGGGTTCACTTTGGTTTCTGTCGAAATCTCTGGTCACCTGGCAGATTGAGGGCTGGGGCTGAAGAGACAAGTAAGAAGCCGGGGGCAGATTTCTTGGTACTCACTCTGATTTGCCTGGGCTTCGGTTCTCCAAGTAGACCTGTTTAAGAGGGAAAAATGAGGAAAAAGTAATGGAAAGTGGATGAGACTGACTCTTCTGATAGAGAGGACCTTGGATGTTACAGTGATCTTCAGACCTATCATCGCCTGCTAACAGGAAAGCACCACAGAAATCCCTCTCTCCAAGAAAGTCTTTTGTTTACCTGTTTTACAAAGCTCAGTGATGTTAAGGCCATAAGTGTTATTAGTTTTCATAGTTTAGGACAAAAAAGAAGAAAATGCAATGTATTGTAATCTTATTGTGCTATTGTTCTGAAAGACAAAACAAAAAAGGAGGTCAACTTATCCTCTCTTTATTGAGCACCTACTGCATACACTAATATTGCATCTTCTGCAAAAACACATCCAAACAGACCTGTCCAATGCTACAATGAACAGAATAAAATGTGGTCATGTATGAGAAAGTTCTTAATATACAATAAAACCTTTGGTAAATAGGCATTATCAGTTATTGCTATTAGAGATGTCTGTTCAAGATTTCTGCTGACCAACAGTTAATCAATTCTGCTTAAAATGTATGTGCTTAAAATATATGTGCTTAAAAGGAACTTTCCAGCCAAGAAAATATACAGATACTTCACAAAAGAAATAAAAATCATCAATAAACATATGAAAAAGATACTTGACATCATTAGTGTCAAAGGTAGGAACACTGAAATGAGGTACCATTTGCCATTTGTGGAACTGGGAAAAATGGAAGAAAAAAATCCCCTCAGTGAAGGTGTAGGGAGAGGGACACACTTGTATCCTACTACTGTGGAAACATACTACAATCTTTCTAATGGCCACCTTGAAAATTTAAGGCCAAGTCCTCAAAATGTCCATTACCTTTAACCCAGTAAAAAAAATAACGAAGCACAAGAGCAAAATTTTCATTGAAAATGTTCACTGAAATGAAAAAGTGCCAATAGGCTCAGTGTCCAACACTAAGAAATTTTAAAATTAAGTTATACATTATTTCTTCCTATAATAGAGTATGTTTAACTATTACAATGATATTGAAGGTAAATACTGACCTGAAATGTCACTATCGTTAATACTGTTAACAGCAAATAAGAAAGTTATAAAATGGCATGATCCATTTTGTAAAAGCAAAAACAAAACATCAACCTCCTATAGATGTGCAAAGAGAAAAAAATAAACATGTCTTAAAAGGCTTTCTATTAAGAAAAGACTACTGCTAACCTCTGCCTGGTGGAATTATAGGTGCCTTATTTTCTTTTTGCTTATCTGTGCTTTCTAAGTTTTCAACAATTGAGCATATTATTATTTCTAGAATGGGAATAAAAATAATAAGAAATATAAAAGAAGGGGCTTTTAAGAAAGGAGCACTTACACATGTTCTAGGATGATCTTTGTCAGTAGGTTTTTGAGGTTTTGGTGGAAATTTTCTGGAAAGAGAGCCAGAATCGCCTCGGCAGAAGACAAGTCACGGAATGCCACCAACCTAGTGAGGCGGTGCAGAGCCTGGAGCAGCTGCAAGACAGATGGAGCCACCCTGTAGCTGTAACAGAAGCAGCAGGCAGGGGGCACAAGACAGGGCTAGGGGCAGGGCTCTACACCCCTAAGGCTGCACAGTGCCCTGGTCATTCAGCTGAGTCACGAGACCAGAGGCCTCTGCACACAGTACATTCTCATGTCCCACGTGCCTCAACCTGCCTTGGAGTTCACCTGTTGGTTCAGAAGACAGATGCAGCTGCCTGATCTAGGAAGCTGTCAGCTTACCAGAAACTCTCCACTTGTGGCCAAAGAGTTAATATAGCCCTTTTCCTTCTGCATGAGAATCTGACCTTCAGTTAACTTTCTGGTGCTGTTTCCCTGGTAACCTGAGCACACTGGAAAGTCAGCTGGTTACTAAGCAACACTGCATTGGTCCCAGCCTCTGAACTAAAAGGACTGCAGAAACACCTGGGGTGCCTGTGGCTTTGGACTTGCCTACGTGTGGCTACAGGCTCCTTTTGAGAACCTGAAGCTATGCTTACTGAACTGTGACACGGGATACTGGGTTCTGTGGAGTGAGGGCCTTGAATCCAGGGTGGTAGGATTCAATGTCCTTTCCTCTCAACTGTCACCTAGGAGGGCAAAGAGAACAAACAGCTCCTGGCCAGCTGTGTGGGTTCCTCCTGGGAAGAGGAGTGTCTGCCCATCCTGCTAAAATGCTGTGTTCCCATCCTAGGTCCTTCTAAGTGAATCTGTAACTTCGAAGTGTAAGGGTGGTTTATGGTAGTCTTATGAATACAGTAATCCTTTGCTAACCTAAAAACACAGCTCTCTGGAGGGAACTGTTTCTCTGCTTTAGGACTTCCTCTGTTATCACTGCAGATTGCCTGACACAACCTGGAAGTGAAGGGGAGTCACCTTTCCGCCAATGAGAGTGGACGTTCATGGATAAACAGCCAAGCCTCCCTGTCTTCCAGGTGTTCTACTTGTTTCTTACAGGACCCCAAGTTTTCCCACAGCAGTAACCACTCTTAACATCCTCTTTTATTGACTTGCCTTCCCTGTTTGATTTTCCCCACTGCTCTGTGCTTTCTAGAATCACCTCCCAAATAATCTACTTTGGGGGGAACCCAAAATAAGTCTTCAAGTCCATAATCCTACTTTTTCCTTTTCCTTTTCTACAGCTCATTTCAATAAACAAAGATCCAGAATTAAAACAAAAAACAAAAAACACAGGCCAGGTACAGTCGCTCATGCCTATAATCCTAGCACTTTGGGAGGCTGAGGTGGGTGGATTGCTTGAACTCAGGAGTTGGAGACCAGACTGGGCAGCATGGCAAAACTTCATCTGTATGAAACATACAAAAATTAGCCAGGCATGGTGGCACATGCCTGTAGTCTCAGCGACTTGTGTAGCTGAGGTGGGAGGATTGCTTGAGCCTGGGAGGTCGAGGCTGCAGTGAGCCATGTTCATGCCACTGCCCTCCAGCCTGGGTAACAAAACTAGACCTTGTCTCAAAAATAAAAAAGTCCAAAAACAGAGTCCCATTTAGATGAAGAAACTGCTGTTCTAAAAAGATATATGCCTTGGAAAGATAAGGCTGTCACTGCTACACAATAATTTACTATGAGTTACCTTTATCTCCCTCTTGGCCACCTGCTGAGATCAGGTGAGTTGAGGAGAAGGGGACTTCTGTGGGACGGAGGGGTGAGGAGGGAGTGAGATACACAAAGCACCCCTCACAAAGGCTGATGGGAACTAGCAGTGCATACTCCTGAATTTTATTCAGGCCTCAAAGCTTCTGTTCAAAGATCCCTTAAATATCTGCCCTAAGCTACCCAACAGACAACTCATCAGCATCAGCAAGTGACAGGTTCAAAAAGAAAATCACAAAACGGTTGGCTTTTGTTCCACATTGTCTAGGTAATAGGTCTGAAAAGAAAATGGTCAGGAGCTCTGATTCTGGGTGTAGTTCTCCCATTCATGTCTCATTTATCCAAGTTTGCTCTAGTGTCACCAGATGTTTCAAGGGATTTTCCTTGGACATGGCAATGACTGGGAAGTCAAGAAAGAGACTAATAAGTTAAGAGGGCCAGTGGTCAAAGGTCATTTCTGACCACACTTACTTCCTCTGCCTCCTCCTGGGTCACAGACAAGCTGGAACATGTAATATCCAAGAGTTTTTTTGAGCCAAGGGCTGAACTGGAAAAGCTTTCTTGACACAGCTGTCTGACAACATCTTTTGAGGAGGCCTATGAATTAAATCACAGACAGGAAAAAACAAAACAAAACAAAACACCTCAGACTCTGAAAACACATGTTTTGAATAATAATGTCTTAGTCATACATGATACCTTTGAGACTTAAAATTTAAAGGTACATAAGACTTTGGTTTCTGGAAAGATCAAATAGATATACTTTTCCCTAATCCTTCTGCTAAGTACCACTAAAAAATCTGGACACTATACAGAAAACATACATAAGACTCTGGAAGGGGGAGAGAAGGAGGCAGATCTGCTAGGGACCTCATAATACAAGGAATTACACAAAGGTGAGTTCCCTGGATTTTTTTTTTTTTTTTGCTTCATATATCTCAGACTTTGAGCTGAAGAAGAGGGCAACCTGGAAATGACAATGGATGCAGAGTGAAAACAAAAGCCTCAGTAAATACCTGCTCTCTCTAACTAAAGGACCAATAAAGGGGCAGCCTCATAAGACAGAAGACTTTTAGACAATAACTGCTACACCCCAGCCAAATATCACAGGAAGAACTGCGGCCCCACCCACCTCTACATCAACAAAGACTGAGTGGGAGACCTAGACCTAAGTGAGAAGACTTGTGATGCTATAATGAGGTGCTCCAACACTCCTGCTGAGGAAATGGCAGAGAAGGCCAAGTAGGAAGCTGAGACCTTTAGCCTCACCGGCTGGTATCAAGCTAGTATCATTCTGTGATACTAGTGGAGACCATGTGGAGTCAGAGATTCCTCTCCTACCCAGTGGTAACAAGGAACCTCTGCTTTCAGGTATCAACAAAAGCCAGTGGGGAAACTGGACTTGAACTTCTAACTGATAGTAATGTGGTGGCACCCATTCCCTTGCCTCAGCAGTGCCACAGAAAGCCAGCTAAGATTTAAACAGAAGATTTAAATAAAATCCATTCTCAGAACATAAAACATGAAAATCATTCATCAAACCAAGAACCAGGAATATCTCAAACTGAATGAGAAAAAGGTAATCAACAGATGTCAATACCAAGATGACGGATGTTGAAATTATCTGACAAAGAATTTTAAGTAGCCAGGATAAATATGTTTCAACAAATAATTGTGAACTTGTTTGAAACATTTTAAATTGCCTCAGCCAAGAAGTAGAAGATATAAAGAACAACAAAATGGAAATTTTAGAACTGAAAAACAAAATAACCAAAATAAAAAGCTCAGTAGATTGGCTCAGCACCAAAATAGAAAGAATAAAGAATCAGTGAACCAAAAGACAGAACAGTAGAAATTATCCAATCGGAAAAACAGAGAAAACAGACAAAATTATGAACAGAGCCTCATGGACATGTGGGACTATAATGAAAGACCTAACATTCATATCATTGGAGTCCTAGAAGGAGATGATGAAAGAGGGAAAGACTGAAAAAATATTCAAAGAAATAATAGCTGAAAACTTTCCAAGTTTACTTAGAGACATACTCCTATACCATTTCAAGAACCTGAGTGAACCCTAAACAGGATAAATCCGATAAATCCAAAGAAATCCATACTAGGACATATAATTGAACTTCTGAAAATGAAAGACAAAGAAAAAATCTTTAAAGCAGAGAGAAATAACACCTTACCTATTAAAAAACAATTGGAATAAAAGTAGATTTCATATCAGAAACCACAGAAGGAAGAAAGAAGTGACAATATTTTTCAGGCGCTGAAAGGGAAAAAAAACCTGTCAACTTGGAATCTTACACCCAGCAAAAATATCCTTCAGGAATGAAGAGGAAATCAAGACATTTTCAGTTGAAGAAAAACTAAGAATATCTGCTGTAAAAGAATGGTCAAAACAAGTTCTCTAAGCAGAATGGAAACAATGAAACAAGAAACCAGTGGAACACCAGTGTCCTAGCCAGAGCTCTCCAGAGAGACAAAACCAACAGGATAAGTGAGAAGGGATTTATTAGGGGGAAATGGCTTACATGATCATAGAGGCAAAGTCCCACAATAGGCCATCTGCAAGCTGGAGGACCAAGGTAGCTGGTAGCTTGGCTCAGTCAAAGTCTAGCAACCTTAGACGAGGGAAGCTGATGGCACAGCCCCCAGTTTGAAGCCAAAAGACTAAGAGCCACTGTAAGGCCACTGGTGTTAAGTCCCGGAGTCCAAAAAAATGAAGAACCCAGAATCTGATGTCCAAAGGCAAGAGGAGAAACGGCATCATTCTTTAGAAAGGAGGGAGAGAGCAGAGTGAAAGAGAAAGAGAAATCCACCCGTTTGGCCCAGCTGGGTCCCCAGCCAATGGGTTGGTACCTGCCCACATTGAGGGCAGGTCTTTCTCCCTCAGTTCACTGACTCACACATCAATTTCCTCTGGCAACATCCTCACTGACACACTCAGAAACAATGCTTCACCAACCATGTAGGCATCCCTCAATCAAGTCAACACCTAAAATCAACCAGCACAATCAGGCAGACAGAACAGGGCAAACAAAATTATGATAAATACTATAGACTTTCTTTCTTTTCTTGAGTTTTCTATTATCTTTGAAGGCTGAAGCAAAAAATATAATACTGTCTGATATGGCTCTAAATGTATGTAGAGGAAATATTTAAGACAATTATAAACGAGGGAAGATAAAGGGGTATAAAGGGAGGTAAGGTTTCTATACTTTGCCCTAACAGGTAAAATGATGACACCAAGAGACTGTGATAAGTTATGTATATGGAATGTAGTAATTAGGGCAACCACTAAAAAGGCTATAAAAAGAAACACACTTTAAAACATTACAGATAAATCAAAATGGAATTCTAAAAAAATGTTAAAATAACTTATGGGAGGCAGGAAAAAGTAAAATGAAAGAAAAACCAAGAGAGAACAGGTAGAAAACAAAAATAAAATAGTAGACTTGAAGCCCTAACATACAAATGATTATGTAAATTATTTTATATGTAAGTTACATTATATGTAAATTAATGCATTACATGTAAATGTTAATAGTCTAAGTGTACCAATTAAAAGACAAAAATTGGCACAGTGGATTAAAAATATGACTCAAATGCTATCTATACGAAACCCTTGGTCACGCCTGATGGCTCAGGCTTGTAATCCCAGCACTTTGTGAGGCCTTGGCAGGTGGATCACTTGAGCCCAGAAGTTTAACACCAGCCTGAGCAACATGGTAAAACCCCCTCTCTACAAAAAAAAATACAAAAATCGGCCGGGCGCAGTGGCTCAAGCCTGTAACCCCAGCACTTTGGGAGGCCGAGGCGGGTGGATCACGAGGTCAAGAGATTGAGACCATCCTGGTCAACGTGGTGAAACCCCGTCTCTGCTAAAAATACAAAAAATTAGCTGGGCATGGTGGTGCGTGCCTGTAATCCCAGCAACTCAGGAGGCTAAGGCAGGAGAATTGCCTGAACCCAGGAGGTGGAGGTTGCGGTGAGCGGAGATCGCGCCATTGCACTCCAGCCTGGGTAACATGAGTGAAACTCCGCCTCAAAAAAAAAAAAAAAAAATACAAAAATTAGCTAGGTATGGTGGTGCTTGCCTGTAGTACCAGCTACTCGGGAGGCTGAGGTGGGAAGACTGCTTAAGCCTGGAAGTCAAGGCTGCAGTGAACTGAGATTGTACCACTGCACTCCAGCCTGGGTGACAGAGCAAGATTCTGTCTCAACAACAACAACAACAACAACAACAACAAATCTCCCTTCAAATATAAGCTATAAGGCAGGGTGAAAGTAAAGGAATGAAAAAAGATATATCATGCAAACATTAATCAGAGGAGAGAAGTGGTTAAATTAATAATAGATAAAGTAAACTTCACTGGCAAAGAAAATTACCAGAGACAGGGAGGAACATTATATAATAATAAAAGATAACAACAGAATTGCAAAATATGTGAAGCAAAAACTGTCAGAATTGTAAGAAACAGACTCAAAGACAAATATAACTGAAGACTTCAACACTCCTCTTTCAACAACTGACATAACCAAACAGATATTCAACAAGGATATAGAAGAAACTCAACAATACCATCAATTGATTAAATTAACATTTATGAAACAATACCTAGTAACAGCAGAATACAAATTCATTTCAAGTGCCCACTAAACACATACCCAGACATCTAATATTCTGGGCCATAAAACAAACTTCATCAAATTCAAAAGAAATGAAGTAATGCAGTGTGTTCTATGGGACCACAATGGAATCGAAGTAGAAATCAATAACAGAAAGGTAACAGAAAAATATCTGAACACTTATAAACAGTCCACCTCTAAATAATTCCTATGTTAAAGGGAAAGTCTCAGGGATATTTTAAAAATAACACTGAATAAGTGAGAATGAAAACACACTATCAACATTTGTGAGGCACAGCCTAGCAAGTGGTTAAAGGAAAACTTACAGCATTAACTAGAAATACATTATAGCATATTAACTAGAAATTAACATTACAGCATACACTAGAAAAGAGGAAAAGTCTCAAATTGACAATCTAAGCTACCACCTCAAGAACCTATAAAAAGGAAAGCATGATAAACCCAAAGGAAGCACTGGAAGTAACAGTGATAAGAGCAGAAACCAATGAAATTGAAAATAGAAAAATCAATGAAACAAACAGCTGGTTCTTTGACAATGTCAGTAAAAATCGACAAACCTCTAGCAAGATGACAAAGTTAAGAGGGAAAATACAAATTATCAGTATCGGGAATGAAATAAGAGGATATGACCACAGATCCTGCAGACATCAGAGGATAATGGAAACTTCATGAATAATTCTATAAACATAAATGTGATAGTTTAAATAAAATGGACCAATTCTTCAAATAACACAAACTACTTCCATTCCCCTAATATAAAATTGATAATTTGAAGAGGCCTATAACTATCAAGAAAATTGAATTCACAATTTTAAAACTTTTCAAAGAAATCTCTAGGCTCAGATAATTTGGAGAATTCTAACAAACATTTTAAAAAGAATGAACTGATTATATACAATCTTCTCCAGAAAAACAGAAGATGGAGTACTCTCCAAATGATTTTATATAGCTACAAAGCTAGTATTACCCTGATACCAAGAGTGCACAAAATTGTACAGAAAAATAACAAAACCACAGATCAATATCCCTCATAAAAATAGATGCAAAAATTCTAAGCAAAATATTAGCAAATAGAGATCAATTTTATATACATAAAATTAGCAGATACATACAATTATATATAAGTGTATACTATAATATATAACTATATAATTATACACTATGACCAGGTGGGATTTATTCCACAGATGGAAGCCTAGTTCAATATTTGAAAATCTATGTAATCTACCACATTAAAGAAAATCACATGATATAAATCAATGCAGAGAAAGCATTTGATAAAATTAAACATCCATTCTTGATAAAAACCCTCAGAAAAATAGGAATAGAAGAGAACTTCCCTATATTGATAAACAGCATCTACAAAAAACCTGCAGTTAACATTATACTTAATGGTGAGAGGCTAAACGCTTTGCCTCCAAAACTGAGAACAAGGCAAGGGATCTGCTTTCTCCACTCTGAATCGACATAGTGCTGAATGTTCTAGCCACTAAAATAAGGCAAGAAAAGGAAATAAAATGTGTGCAGATCAGAAAGGAAGAAATAAAACTGTCTCTATTTGCAAATAACATAATTTTCTATGTAGAATATCCCAAGGAGTATACCAAAAACTCCTAGAAACATTGAGTTTAGCAAGTTTGCATGTAGAAGATAAACATACATAAATCAGTTGTGTTTCTATATATTAGCAATGAACATGTGGACACTAAAATTAAAAATATGGGCTGGGCGTGATGGCTTACATCTATAATCCCAGCACTTTGGGAGGCCAAGGTGGGTGGATCACTTGCGGCCAGATGTTTGACACCAGCCTGGCCAACGTAGTGAAACCTTGTCTGTACTAAAAATATACACAAAAAAATTAGTCTGGGGTGGTGGCAGGCACCTGCAGTCCCAGCTACTTGGTAGGCCGAGGTATGAGAATTGCTTGAACCCAGGAGGTGGAGGTTGCAGTGAGCTGAGATTGCACCACTGCACTCCAGCCTGGGCCACAGAGCAAGACTCTGTCTCTCAAAAAAATAAATAAATAAATACCATTTGCAATTGTTCAAAAAATGAAATACAGTATGTATATACTGAAAACTACACAACACAAAACTTTTGTACCATCATTACATGAAATACCACTCAGCAATAAAAAGGAAAAAAAAAATAAAAAGGAAAGGAATATACATACAACATAGATGAAAACTAGGTTGAGTGAAAAAAGTCAATCTCAGAAGGTTACTTACTGTATTTACATGGCATTTATATGGCATTTTTGAAATGACAAAATTAGAGAAATGAATAATGCCAAAGGTTAAGGAGGGTGTGGCTATAAAAGAGTAGCATGAGGAATCTTTGTGGTGATAGAAATGTTTTGTATTTTGAGTGTCAATGTTAATACCTTTGACATTAGGTATTGACATACCATTTATCTACCCAATTTCCCCACCTCTGCAGGATTCTGCTATACATAATAGTATACATACTATACATAATAGGTATACTATCGAGTAAATATATATGTTATATATTATATAAATATAATATATATACATAGTACAGGTTGTATACATACTATACATAATATGTACATATTATATAGTATGTATACTATGTTATATACATACTATACATATATACAGAACTATACTTAATAGTATACATACTATATAGTGTATATACTATACACTATATAGTATGTATATTATGCATAGATCTGCAGAATCCTGCAGAACTGGGGGAAATTGGGTAAAGGATAAATGAGATAATTAGTATTTCTTTCTGTTTTTTTTTTTTTTTTGAGACATAGTCTTGCTCTGTCGCCAGGCTGGAGTGCAGTGGCTCAATCTCGGCTCACTGCAACCTCTGCCTCCTGTGTTCAAGCGATTCCCCTGCATCAGCTTCCTGAGTAGCTGGGACTACAGGCACGCACCACCACACCCGACTAATTTTTTGTATTTTAGTAGAGATGGGGTTTCACCACGTTGGCCAAGATGGTCTTAATCTCCTGACCTCGTGATCTGGCCACTTCGGCCTCCCAAAGTGGGATTACAGGTGTAAGCCACCGCGCCCAGCCTATATTATTTCTTACAACTACATATGGATTTATAATTATCTCATAATAAAAAGTCTAAGTATTTTTTTAAAAAAGAAAAGAAAGTACATAGGACAGTAGCAATGAAAATCAATGAACTACTGCTACATAATGGTGAGCAAAAGAAGCCAGGCATAAAAAAAAGTATATGTTGTGTTATTCCATTTATGTAAAGTTCAAACATGGGCAATATTAAATGGATTGTTCAGAAGCAAAGATAGTGGTTACCATTGGGGAAGAGAGTGAGGAAGCAAAGAAGGGGCAAAAGGGGAACTTTGAGGGTACTGGTAACATTTCATTTTTTGACCTTGGTGGTGGTTACATTGGTGTGTAATAAATCATTTAAATGTACATTTATGATTTTTGCACTTTTCTATATGTATGCTACACATTAATCTTTTAAAGTTTTTAAAATAAAAGAGTGCCTAAGACCAACAGGCTTGGGGGTGGGGGTAGGTAAGAGCAGCCAAAATGAAGGTGAAAAGGCACTGGGCTGGTAGCTGAAAGCCCTAGGTTTCCAGTCCCAGCTCTGTTACTTCATTTATAATTAATTTAACAGCTATTTACTGAGCACATGCTGTGTGCCAGGTATTAATGTTCTACTTGTTGGGCGTTAACACTTGTAAACAAAAGAATAGATCCCTTTAGGAGTGGAGAACGCTAACGAACACTGAGAAGGTAATTGAAAAATAAACAACTAAAGCAAAACAGAGTCTATTACATGGACCCATGATGATGATGTGCCATAAATTGAGGAGAGTAACTCAACCCTATTTACCTGGAGTTTAAAAAAAAAAAAAAAAAAAAAAAGGAAGAGAGAAAGAAAGAAAAGGTCGCTGATGAATGTACCATTCTTATGAGACAGTCAGGGAGCAAACAGCGACAAGCTCTACAAAGGAAAATAAAGCTGCCTTTTCTCCCACATGGCAAATCATGTTAAATAATTCCAGCCGGGCGCGGTGATTCATGCCTGTAATCCCAGCACTTTGGGAGGCTGAGGCGGATGGATCACTAGGTCAGGAGTTCAAGACCAGCCTGGCCAAGATGGTGAAACCCTGTCTTTACTAAAAATACAAAAATTAGCCAGGCGTGGTGGCAGGCGCCTGTAATACCAGCTACTCAGGAGGCTGAGGCAGAGGCTGCAGTGAGCCGAGATCGCGCCACTGCACTCCAGACTAGGCGACAGAGTGAGACTACGTCTCAAAAAGAAAAAAAAAAAAAAAAAATTCGACCTATCATTTCATTTGAGCTTTACCGGAAAACCCGGACCTCAGGGGAATATTGAACTCACAGCTCATTCGGAGGGCTGGGCTGACGCAGTAGGAGATAATTTCTCAGTGATGGAGTGCAGGAGGGGCTACGGGATGAAATGAGGAACTGCTAACGTGGATCCAGCAACTACCACTCTAATGCACCAATCCCGAAATCCAATCCCAGAGACTAATAGGAGGGGGCATTTGTACTGCGCCTTCATGCCCATTATTTTATTTTTTTTCTCTTATCTTCCTGTCAAAACGGTATTTTTTTCTTACTTTTTCAGAAAGACGCATCTATTTGCCTGGGATCACACAGAGAACAAGCAGCAGGGTTGTGGCTCCAAACCAGGGCCAATTTGTTCCCAATTCCTGCTCCGTCTAAAGTCTCGGAGACAAAGGGCCATCTCATGCTGTTCCCACCCCTTCGATTTACCTTGAGCAGGCTCTGAAGAGCTGCAAAATGCTCCGCTGTCAGGGCAGCCATCTTTCCGAAGTCACATGACCGCGGCACCCAGCGAAGCGACGTCATGTGGCTTTCGCTGTTGTCGCGGGGCCTGCCGGGGGCTGTAGTCCTTCAGGGTGGAGGACGGTGCCTGGGTTTTGATGCTGTGGGAGTCGAGCCGGGATCAAGACGGACGCGGCGGCGTGATTGCTAAACCCTGGGACTCTAGGACCGAAGGACTAGGGGGACCAGGGTGAAGGATGGTTTACTCGGGGAGGAAATTGGCTTCACTTGTCTACTTACCAGGTCAGGGAAACAGGTTTTCCCTTGACCCATGTGGGTGGGCACGCCCATTTGGGGAATACACCTGCAGGCTTGGCAGGCACCTTGGAAACGTAGCTCCTCAGGAGTGATCAGCGTACCAGTGCTTGGGATGAAAATGAGATTGTGTATCTCGAACTTCTTGGAATTTACAAACGCACACACATCCTGTCTTGAAGAATGTAAAATTACTTCTGTGTGTATAGTTTTTCAGCCTACGGAGTAGATAGGAGCTAGTATTATTAGTATTATCCAGACTGGGAAATAATAATTTAGGCTTTTAAGTAACTTTCCCATAGTCATAGAGGAGATCTGGTTCCAAGAGCAGGCGAGGAAGTGTTTGGAAGAGGGGAGAGGAGAGGAATGGAATGAAAGCTACTACCTAGCTAGGTTCTTGTTACACAGGGGTGAGACGGGGGAGGTGGTTTATGGAAATGATTTAATTCATTTATTCAAGAAGGTAATTATAAGGAGTATAATTGTAAAGAGTGATTTTGCATGATCCTTACTGGACTCTGACTTGCACAGTGCTCAGAGGCTGTACATCAAAATAGACATTTCCTTTATCTACCTTTAATATTTGGGTGGCTCTTTTCTCTTTCAGTCCTCCACTTTTTATAAAGCAAATTCCAGCTCAAAAAAATGGGTTCTGATAAATTCGAGCTTAAGAAAGAATGTCCATTTGTGAAATTCCAGAAATTGGTAAGCTGGTAAGAACATTTGTTCCTTTGTCTCCTCTCCTCCCCCTTCCCCTCTCTGCCTCCATTTTCTGTGGGGTGTTGTGAAGGCCCAGGAAAACAGAAATCAAATTGTCTAAGGAGAAACCCATTCCTGGATTAGAAGATTTTAGAACCATTTTGTCACCGAGTCCTGATTCAAGCTGTCTTTCTTGGCCCCTCTTTTCCTTGAGCCCTCATGGCCTGATTCCTGTTTTCTGTCATAACTCAATGTAGGTTCTAGGTTTAACTCCTGTTTGTATCTATAGGGCTGGGCCCATTGCTTTTGGTGAACTGAATGTTTGTTAAATAAACAAGCACTCAAGAAAGTGATTAGACTAAGATGAACTTGTGTAACTTATTTGAGGATATTGCCTTGTTATTTGCAGGACTGTGACTTCTTGTCTTACTTTAGAACAATGAGGAGTGTGGTCACCAGCCTCCAAGATGGCCCTTAATGATCTCAGACTCCTGGTATTCACACCCTAGTGTAGACACTTCCCACCTTATATCAGGGTTGGTATCCATGACCAAAGCAACTGGTGGGTGTGAATGGCATATCACTTCTGAGATTAGATTATACGAGACTGCACCAAAAACAAACAAAAAAACTGAAGTTCCTGTCCCCTGGCTTGCGTGCTCTCTCATGTGCCCTGCTCTCTTTCAGTTGAATCCTTTGCTTTGGGGAAGGCAAGCTGCCATGTTGTAAGCAGTCCTACAGAGAGTCCTAGGTGATAAGGAACTGAAGCATCTGGCCGACAACCTCATTACTGATCTTAGAAGCAGATTCTCTAGGTCTGGCAGAGACTTAAGAAGGTAGTAGTCTTGGCCAACAGCTTAACTGCAACCTCATGAGAGATTCTGAGCCAGAAGCACACAGCTAAGCCATGCCTGGATTTCTGGCCTTCAAACACTATTAAGATTATAAATGTTTGTTGTTTTAAGCTATGAAGCTTTGAGGTAATTTGTTATACAGCATTAGTGACTAATGCATGGTGACAACAAAGCGTATGGGCTTTAGAATTCAACCTAAGTTGGAATCCAAATTCTACACATTATTCACTTTTCCATGTACACATTTTTGAACCTCTCTGGGCCTCAGTTTCCACCTCTGTAAAATGGTGTTGATCACACCCATCTATTTCAGAGAGCAGAGCTGAGCGACAGGCACTGCTTCGGTGGGAGGATTCCCAGCTCTCCTTGCTCTGGTGGGGAGGTATGATATAAATGGCAACATGTCATCCCATTTTGGTCAGGCTACCCAGATTGCCAGTGCCATGCTGCATTGAAAGGTTTGTCTATGGCCTGCAGAATGTCCAGCAATTTCTAAACCATAAATATTTTCATGGGTGGGAACAGAACTCTGAACAGAATGTCAGAGTTCATTTCTATGATGTGGTTCCATTGCCTGGTTTTCATTAGGCCAAATCTGATTTCTCCCCAATTCTGAGTATAGGAATCAGTGCTGACTTTCATTTATTTAATAAACTTGTTATGTGCCCAGCTCTGTTCTAAGCCTCTCATACTTAATGATTTAGTTACTTCCTATTGCTAGCCTGTGATATTACATATATATATATATATATATATATATACACACGCACAAACATATATACACAGACGTGTACATACATATACATATATAAGCACATACACTGTATTATTATTTCCATTTTGCATATGGAGAAACAGACATAGACAGTTTAAGTAACTGGTCTGAGGTCACACAGCTAAGTAGTGGCAAAGCCCAGATTCAAATATAGGCAGCCTGGCTCCAGATTCTGCACTGTTACCCATCAAGCCATACATGTCTCCTTGTCATCCCACATCTGTAAATTCATGTTTCTTCTCTTTGCATGTCTGACTCCCTTCCTTAGGCAGCAAGAACAAGCTAAGAGTGTTCCTGGACAACCTGGTGGTGGTGAGAGGCAATCTAATGAGTGGAAGGGCTACCTTGGGCTTTGGAAAAAGACCTAGGTTCAGTTTCCCACTCTTGTGTACTGTTAGCAAATTAGTTCCCCTCTTGGAATCTCAGTTTCATCATCCGTAAAATGGGAACAACAATAATAAAAATACGTTTTGTCCATGAGGGGGAGCTCAAGGATGAAATATACCCCAAAAGGGGAGGGATTGCTGACATTCTAGCCATTGGCAACACCAAAGGGCAGAACTTACCTGTGTTGTGGGCAAAGGTTTGCACGAGGGGGACCGACCATCCCAGTTTTCCCAGGGATGAGGGCTTTCCCGGGATATAGGATTTTCAGGACTCATGCTGGGACGGTTCTGGGCAAACCAGGCCAGTTAGTCACCCGAGTTTGAGCCCTGAGCCTTGGGTGAAACCAGTGTTTTAGAACACTTGCCCTGATTTCTCCAGTGGGGCAGACATGGAGAGAGGGATATTGACACAGAATTTATTGATAGAAAATGATTAAAGGCAGTGGTCTTAGTACTGAGGGGTTTTGTTTTGTTTTTTGGTAATAGCTTTATTGAGATAGAATTAACATTCACATACCATAGAATTTATCCATTTAAAGTGTACAATTCAGATTTTAGTATACTCACAGAGTTGTCCACCTATCACCACAGTGTTAGAACACGTTCATCATCCCCAAAAGAAACAGCATATCCTTTAGCTATCAACACCTGCCTCTGCCCCCAATTCTCTCCACCACACCCAGCCCTAGGCAATCACTCATCTACTTTCTGTCTCTGTGGATTTGCCATCTGGACCATTTCCTATACATTGGATCATACGATATGCGGTCTTTTGTACTGGTTTCCTCTACTTAGCATAAAAGGAGGAACTTTTTCAAGGTTCATTCATGTTGTAGCAGGTATAGGTACTTCATTCCTTTTTGCTGAATATTTTTTGTATAGATATATCGTATTTTGGTTCATTCATCAGTTGATAGACATTTGGGTTGTTTTTACTTTTTAGCTGTTGTGAGTAATGTTTCCATGAGCAATCATGTACACAGTTTTTGCGTGGACATATATTCCATTTCTCTTGGAGTGTGTACCAAAGAGTGGAATAGTGGAGTTTCTGGGCCATATGATTACTCTGTGTTTAACCTTTTGAGGAAGTACAAGACCATTTTCCAAAGTGACTGCACCATTTTAGAGTCCCAACAGCAAGGTATAAGGATTTCCATTTCTCCAAATCTGCACCAATATTTTTTTTTGTTTTAAGAGATGGGGGTCTCTGCTTTTTTACCCAGTCTGGAGTACAGTGGTATAATCATGGCTCACTGCAGCCTCAAACTCCTGGACTCAATTGATCCTCCCACTTCAGCCTTCTGAGTGGGTTGGACTACAAGTATGTGCAACCATACCCATCTAATTTTATTTTATTTTTTTTACAGACAAAAAATATATTTTGTTCCTAAAACACATTTTTTATGCTACTTAGGCTGGTCTCAAACTCCTGGCCTCAAACGATCCTCCTGCCTCAGCCTTCTGAGTAGCTGGGATTACAGATGGGAGCCACCACATCTGGCTCTTGTTGATTATAGCGATCCTAGTGGGTATGAAGTAGTATCTCGTTGTGAGCCAGTTTGTTTTGAAGTTGCACTGGCATAGCAAACACCTTTTGTCACTTGCTCTGTCTTTTTGATTATAGCCATCTTAGTGGGTATGAAGTGGTATCTCATGGTGAGCAGTCTTGTTTTGAAGTTGCTGCACAGCAAACACATTTTGTCACTTATACTACTTTTGTTCATTTGAGATAACTGATGAAGGTTATGGGAGCTTAAATAAATCCCTTTTCTCCCCTTTGGCTTCACTACTAAGTCCTGGCTGCCTTCTTTATCAGAGGAGTGCCTGCAGGAGGTGGATTAGGCCAAGGGTCCTGTAGTCCTTTAAGGAGAGCCCTTGCCACTCTCCCGTTATTTCCCTAGTTTCCTTTTCCTCATCCTTGTCTCAGTCCAGAGACGAGGCTGAGTTGCAGGGGGAAAGGGCTGATCAGTC